TCCATTTCATGTCCTCCTCCCTCTCCATCCCATGTCTTCCTCCTTCAGTCCCATCTCACCCATTGCATGTCCTCCTCCACCTCATCTATACCATGTCCTCTTCCTCCTCCAGTTCCATCTCCTCCAACCCATGTCCTCCTTCAGTCCCATTTCCTCAATCCCACATCATCCTCTTCCTGCAATCCCATCTCCTCCATACTATGTCCTTCTCCTCCAGTCCTATCTCCTCCATCCTATGTCCTTCTCCTCCAGTCCCATATCCTCTATCCCATGTCCTCCTCCTCCAGTCCCATCTCCTCCATCCCTTGTCCTCTTCCAGTCCCATCCCCTCCATCCTATGTCCTTCTCCTCCTCCACTCCAGTCTCCTCCATACCATGTTCTCTCCCTCCAGTCCAATTTCCTCAATCCCACATCATCCTCATCCAGTCCCATTTCTTCCATCCGATGTCCTCCTCCTTCTCTAGTCTCATCTCCTTCACACCATATCCTCCTCCTCCTCCATCCCATGTCCTCCTTCTCTTCCATCACATGTCCTCCTCCTTCTCCAGTCTCATCCCCCCCTCAGGATGCCTGGGCTCCCTACATGTATATGGGCTGTCCCCCCAAATGGTGGCCTTGTGTCCACCAAGCCAAAAATCCTAGTGGACCCTTCTCCTCATGATCATCTGAAGCTGACCAACGAGTATTAGGTGAGTGGCCCTCCCAATAGACATACCCAAAAACAGGAAATGAAGGAACCTAAGGACCACACAACCTCATCATAGACTTTAAGGTAGGCCTGAAGACCCACACCTTACAACTCTGAGTGAAAAAAACACACATATAACTGCAAGCGACATACGCAAGAAAAAAAAAATAAATAAAAGGTGCCAATGCATATGCAGTGGCTAGGCCTTGGGGCCTGGTAACAAACATTGCCCCAGTCACGGTCAAAATGTGACGTGCAGTAGAAAAAAAGGGGTGTAGTGGCTTAGTGCTCTTTCTCACAGGGGGTCTCAAACCCATAATGATACAAGGAACAACTTCAAGGAGCCACTTCACAGGGGCACTTAACACCACAGGCTCTCTGCTTTCCTGATCCTTGGACAAACAAAGCAGCACTGCTCAAATCAGGATTATTGTCATGCTAAAACACCAATGGTGTTACTGGCAGAATCACTGGGCAAAAAGAAAGTAAACAAAACCTGAAAAAAAAAAAAATATGCAACCACACACACCTAAGGACTAGTTGCAATCTATTACATTTTCGGGTTCTTTTTGGTGTAGTAGTATAGTGCCCGCTTACCCCTAGGTGGTTGAGAAGAACCCCCCTGGTGGCTCGAAGGCTAGCATTTCAGCAATATAATCAATCACAGGTACCTAATGGATGAGAAATGAGAATGTCTTGTAATGTCCACCGCTGGCAGTTTCTTCCCAGTTCTCCAGAACATTCTACTGCACTTAGGTCTCCTCCTAAGTTGCTCCACACTGGCAGCCATCTTCCTGCTCCATTAGCTCTGGGTGGGCTCCCTCCAGCAGGACAGCAATAATCCTCCAGACCCCAAGAAATAGGCCAACATACATTTTCCATAGGCCCTTCTGCTCTGGCCTCTTCTCAAGGCCAAGTCTGAGAAGCAAAAACCTGACAAGAGCCCAGAAGGCAAAGACCTTTCTGGTAAGTCACCCCAGATATTTATCTCTAACCCCAGCCTGCATCATTGGTAATAAACCCCTAAGTGACTGGCCAGAAAGAAATACATTTTATATACAGTATATAAATACATTTTTGTATCTCATTTCTCTTTGCTCTATCTCCTGGAGAACACTCCTCAGCAACAGGCAAAAGCAAACAATGTATTGAATTTAAGTGAAACCCAATGAATACAGAGATAATACCAATCAGAGCTCAGTCTGACTATAACCTAAGTACCCATATTAAAATTTTGATAATTTTTTCACACAAATAGAGCTTTCTATTTGGTAGTATTTAATCACCACTGTTTTTATTTTTGCTAAATAAACAAAAAAAAAGACTGAAAAAAAAAAAAAAAAAAAAAACTATAATAGCTTATACCAGTGAATTTCACTGCTATAAACAATCATTTGTACTGAATGAAATTGATTAATTTAGTATTTACTATTGTCGTGAGCTGTGATTGGCCCTGTCTGTACCATGTGATCACTGTGACTAATTACAGAAATCACACAATAGTACACAATGGATGACCTGAATGAACGCCATCCATTGTGTACAATTGTCATGTGATCTGCTGTGATTGGTCACAGCGATTACATGGTACCCCCAGCACTGATTGTGACAGATCGCCCCGCAGCGTGGGCCATGGGGCGTGCACGAGGCAGGTTCCTGGGAGGATGTTGTATGATGTCCACCCAGAACAACAAGTGTCCCGCCTGGCCATCATTTGACAATAGGTTGGGCGGGAAGTGGTGTAAAGTGTTTGTAAATTCTTACATATACCCACTGAATCTACTAGCCTCAGGTGATACACAGAGATGAAACAAATCCTCCTACATAAGCTGTACCTGTTTATCTGCAGCACTCTCTACAGACTACTAAAGCACACATTTTATACAGCATTTCTCAGCTCCAGAATTTAGGGGGCTAGGATGTCACACACTGGACAGCATAGAGCACAGAGCTCAGTGTAATCTGAGACCTGAATGCAGAGAAAGGACACACCCCTCTTTACATAGTCTTATAAGGAAACCTGCACAACTGATGCTATTAATCACCTGCTGTATGCTGGAGGGGCAAGGCTGTCTCCCAGGATTGTCTAGTGTCAGCATAGATTGTCAAAAGTGACTCGTACTATAGCAAAGGAATGACAGAGCAGACAAAAATCCCACTCAGTGCTTTGGATCAAGGCAAGTACACATTAGAGAAGGATATGCTTTGTTAATTTTTCATTTCAGAGGTTTGCAACCACTTTAAAGGGTAAGTTATTTTTTCACTTTTGTGAAAAAAAAAAAAGCTATAGCAAATTAAAAAAAATAATATAGCAAATCCATTTGGAAATAAGCCATGTTGTAATTTAATATTATTAAAAATTAACTGTCATTTCATTATTTTTTTTTGCTGTAATTTTCTGCAAAATTCAATGCGATATAGCAGCTCGGAGGCCTCCTGTACACAGTAGGTATACAGAACCTCACCAAAAATTAATTTCCTGTTTGCGTGGTTGGCTCACTGATTTTCCCAGAAGTCTGCACCAAAAGTAACACTTTAGGCACCCCCTGCATTAGGAATTATATTTTTGATGAGATATTCCCTTAGGGTTAACTAGCTATCTAGGAAGCTGGGAAGCACTGCACAGAGAAGAGCAGGGATTTCAAATCCCCGGACCGCTACACCGGTTGTGTGGGTACTGACAGCTCATCACTCACAGACAGGGGCGGACTGACAACTCATGGGGCCCCCGGGCAATTAAAGCGTGAGATCCCTATATTTACAATTTGGAAACTTGTTCCTTTGAAGCCTTTGAGGCTATTAAACAAGGCCTGTTATTTTATTGAAACATGTGAGTGTCCTTATTCTATCGATTTATATGGTATTGAGTGGAAGTATTACACTATGTAGCCTTTCTTTCCTTGCATATTATTGAGGATTCCATAGAGAAGTAGAGAGAGTGGAGTCGATTGCTGTATCTAAGCAGGGTGAAGGCGATTTGAGTTCCTCCTGAGGGGCTATAGGATCCCTTATATCCTATGAGGCTTATTACTCGCCTCCATCTGGTGAGTGCGGTCAATATTATTTTCACGTGGTGATTAGGTGGAAGCACATTTTTGAACATTGTCTTGAAAATCCTTTTGGAAAAATAAGGACTTATGTTTGAAAAATATTATATTATATATATATTTTTTTTTTTTTCACGGACATTTATTTATTTGTGATTATTTTTATTTATTTAATTTTTGCGCTGTTTTTTGTGTTATTCACAATAGGGGATCATGGTGCCCCTGTGTCCTTGCCCACACTCAAAGCACACCCAAAAAAGCCTATAAGAGGTACCAGGGGCATTTCATGGGGCCCCCTACTGACCCCAGGCCCTCGGGCAGTGCCCGAGTGCTCGAATGGTCAGTCCACCCTTGCTCACAGAGTGCAAGTACTGCAGGGGCCAGGGAAGGGGAGGGGGAGGGTGTATGGTGTTAGTTCACTTTTTAGTTTTTTTCTGAAAAGGTGGACTAACACTTTAACCACAATTATTGATTCTAAATGTTTTCTGTAACATATCAAATCTTCTCTTTTTTAGTTCAGGTCCACTTTAAAACTTGAAAGCATACAGCCAGTATTACAGTGGGAACCACAAAGAGAGCTGATCTACCCTGTGCCAGCCGACAGTATCAGTGGATGACCTCTGCATGGACATTTCATGGGTATGTCATCATCATCATCATCTTCACTGTCAGGGAATAAACTCATTCACCTCTGCTCCAAACATAGATATGCTGATGTAACATACATTGCCCTGTATCAGTAGTCTTCCCGATAAATCAACATAACTGTACTATATACGTTCATTTATTAACTCATTTATTTTGGCTAATTAACATTTAGGACAATTTGTTAATCAATAATGTAAATGTACATTTACCGGATTTTTCGCTCTATAAGATGCACTTTCCCCCCCCCCAAAAAAATGGGGGGAAATGTCTGTGAGTCTTATGGAGCGAATACTGACTAGGACTCCCCTACCCGACGCCACTGTTAGAAATACCGGGCCAGCCGCTTGGCTCTTCTGTGGCAGAAGAGAGGAGGAGTCTGAGTCAGCAGTGCCAAAAGCAGCTGCCCCTTAAAGCGGAGTTTCAGCTGAAGAAAAAAAAAAAAAAAGTCAACAGCTACAAAAACTGTAGCTGCTGACTCTTAAAATACAGACACTTACCTGTCCCTCGGTCCAGCGTTGTTCTTACCACCGCTGGTTTCACTGGCCGTCCTCTCTCCCTGGTGCTGGCATCTTCAGTGTGGGCACCCGGCTGTGACAGCTTGCAGCTTCACAGCTGGGTACCCACTGCGCATGCGTGAGAAGCACTGCACTTTGTGAATGGCCCCGTAGTCTTCTGGGACCTGTCACGTGTCCCAGAAGACTATGGGGAGGGAGGGAGGACAGCTTCGGGAAGTGGGAGCGGGTACCTGTCAAATTCGGGTACCCGCTCCCCAAAGGTGCAGTCTCTGGTCATCTCCTGTACTATGTCCGCAGTCTCTGGTCATCTCCTGTACTATGTCCGCAGTCTCTGGTCATCTCCTGTACTATGTCCGCAGTCTCTGGTCATCTCCTGTACTATGTCCGCAGTCTCTGGTCATCTCCTGTACTGTGTCCGCAGTCTCTGGTCATCCCCTGTACTGTGTCCGCAGTCTCTGGTCATCTCCTGTACTATGTCCGCAGTCTCTGATCATCTCCTGTACTGTGTCCGCAGTCTCTGGTCATCTCCTGTACTGTGTCCGCAGTCTCTGGTCATCTCCTGTACTGTGTCCGCAGTCTCTGGTCATCCCCTGTACTGTGTCCGCAGTCTCTGGTCATCTCCTGTACTATGTCCGCAGTCTCTGATCATCTCCTGTACTATGTCTGCAGTCTCTGGTCATCTCCTGTACTATGTCCGCAGTCTCTGGTCATCTCCTGTACTGTGTCCGCAGTCTCTGGTCGTCTCCTGTGATATGTCCGCAGTCTCTGGTAATCTCCTGTACTGTGTCCGCAGTCTCTGGACATCTCCTGTACTGTGTCTGCAGTCTCTGGTCATCTCCTGTACTATGTCCGCAGTCTCTGGTCATCTCCTGTACTGTGTCCGCAGTCTCTGGTCATCTCCTGTACTGTGTCCGCAGTCTCTGGTCGTCTCCTGTGATATGTCCACAGTCTCTGGTAATCTCCTGTAGTGTGTCCGCAGTCTCTGGACATCTCCTGTACTGTGTCTGCAGTCTCTGGACATCTCCTGTACTGTGTCTGCAGTCTCTGGTCATCTCCTGTACTATGTCCGCAGTCTCTGGTCATCTCCTGTACTATGTCTGCAGTCTCTGGTCGTCTCCTGTGATATGTCCGCAGTCTCTGGTCACCTCCTGTACTGTGTCTGCAGTCTCTGGACATCTCCTGTACTGTGTCTGCAGTCTCTGGTCATCTCCTGTACTGTGTCCGCAGTCTCTGGTCATCTCCTGTACTATGTCCGCAGTCTCTGGTCATCTCCTGTACTATGTCTGCAGTCTCTGGTCGTCTCCTGTGATATGTCCGCAGTCTCTGGTAATCTCCTGTACTGTGTCTGCAGTCTCTGGTCATCTCCTGTACTGTGTCTGCAGTCTCTGGACATCTCCTGTACTGTGTCTGCAGTCTCTGGTCATCTCCTGTACTGTGTCCGCAGTCTCTGGTCATCTCCTGTACTATGTCCGCAGTCTCTGGTCATCTCCTGTACTATGTCTGCAGTCTCTGGTCGTCTCCTATGATATGTCCACAGTCTCTGGTAATCTCCTGTACTGTGTCTGCAGTCTCTGGTCATCTCCTGTACTATGTCCGCAGTCTCTGGTCATCCCCTGTACTGTGTCCGCAGTCTCTGGTAATCTCCTGTACTGTGTCCGCAGTCTCTGGTCATCTCCTGTAGAGTGTCCGCAGTCTCTGGTCATCTCCTGTACTATGTCCGCAATCTCTGGTCATCTCCTGTACTGTGTCCGCAGTCTCTGGTCATCTCCTGTACTATGTCCGCAGTCTCTGGTCATCTCCTGAACAATGTCTGCAGTCTCTGGTCATCTCCTGTACTATGTCTGCAATCTCTGGTCATCTCCTGTACTATGTCCGCAATCTCTGGTCATCTCCTGTACTATGTCCGCAATCTCTGGTCATCTCCTGTACTATGTCTGCAGTCTCTGGTCATCTCCTGTACTATGTCCGCAGTCTCTGGTCATCTCCTGTACTATGTCCGCAGTCTCTGGTCATCTCCTGTACTGTGTCCGCAGTCTCTGGCCATCTCCTGTACTATGTCTGTAGCCTCTGGTCATCTCCTGTACTATGTCCGCAATCTCTGGTCATCTCCTGTACTATGTCCGCAATCTCTGGTCATCTCCCGTACTATGTCTGTAGTCTTGGTTCAGAATATTTTTTTTATTGTTTTCCTCCTCTAAAACCTAGATGCATCTTATGGTCAGGTGCATCTTATGGAGCGAAACAGTAGAAAAAGATTAAAACCTTTGTATTTTTTTTTTTGCTGCCTGTGTCCCATTGGGGGGATTTTCCTTCACTTCCTGTGTCAGAGTCAAAAGTAAGAAAAAAAGTAACAAAAACTGAGACAACTCAATATTTTGGCTTTTACTTTCAGTACCAGTGATCATGGCCATCAGGGCAAATACAGAGGATGAATATCGCCAGCAGGGACACAGACAGCAATAAAACCATACAGGGGTTCTAACCCTTTCCTACTTATTAAAAAAAATAATAATTAAAAAAATCAATCACGATGTTCAGTTTTCACATTTTTCTTTGTGTGTACAGGTTTACAAATGTATGTTTAATTTTTTTAATAACGTGTATATTATTTACTTTATACAAATAAACATTTATTATATGGTGAATGTATAAACCATCTTTTAACCACTTGCCTACCAGGCACTTATACCCCCTTCCTTACCAGGCCAATTTTCAGCTTTCAGCGCTGCCGCACTTTGATTGACAATTGCGCGGTCATGCAACATTGTACCCATATGAAATTTTGATGATTTTTTTCTCACAAATAGAGCTTTCTTTTGGTGGTATTTAATTGCCACTGGGCACTTTACTTTTTGCGCTATAAATAAAAAAAGTGCAAAAAATTTGAAAAAAAAAAGTTTTCTTTGTTTCTATTATAAAATTTTTCAAACAGGTATTTTTTCTCCTTCACTGATGTGCGTTGATGAGGCAGCACTGATGGGCACTGATAGGCGGCACTGATGGGCACTGATAGGCAGCACTAAAGGGCACTGATAGGCAGTACTAATGAGGTGGCACGGATAGGCGGCACTGATAGACAGCACTAATGAGGTGTCACGGATAGGCAGCACTAATATGCAGCACTGATAGGCGGCACTGATAGGTGACACTGATGATGGGTACTGATAGACGGCACTGACTGGCATCACTGCTGGGCACTGACTGGCGGCACGGACTGGCACAACCCCTGGGCACTTGACTGGTGGCACTGACTGGCTGCACTGCTGGGCTGCACTGGTGGGTGGCACTGGTGGGCAGCACTGGTGGGTGGGCACAGGTGGGTGGGCACAGGTGGGTGGCACTGGTGGGCACAGGTGGGTGGGCACAGGTGGGTGGCACTTCTGGGCACAGGTAGGTGGCACTTCTGGGCACAGGTGTGTGACACTGCAGAGTGGCACAGGTGGGTGCACTGCTGGGCACAGGTGGGTGCACTGCTGGGCACAGGTGGGTGATCTGCTGGGCACAGGTGGGCGGAGCTAGTGGGCGCACTGCTGGGCACAGGTGGGCGGAACTTGCGGGTGGCACTGCTGGGCACCGATCATCAGGGCACTGATCATCAGTGCCCTGATGATCGGTGCCGATCCCCGCTCTGACAACTGCCGGTTCTCGGCAGTACTTTCCTCATGATCTGACAGCGTGAGGAAAGTGCAGCCGAGAACCGGCACTTGCATTTCCCTGTGATCAGCGTGTCATTGGACACCGCTGATCACGTGGTAAAAGGCCGCTGGGATCGGCCTTTTACCACATCACGTGATCAGCTGTGTCCGTAGGACACAGCGATCACGGAGATCGCCCGGTGCGCGCCCCCTGGGGCGCGCAGGAGAGCGCGTTCTGGGGGGACGTCATATGACGTCCGCCCAGAACTGGCCGGCCGCAGTGAAGCCGTCATTCGGCTATCTGCGGTCGGCAACTAGTTAAAAAAACATGCTAGACTTTCTCAGAAGAAAGCCCAGCACTAGTTTTTATGCTTTCTGGCCGTTGAGTTACTCTATTGGGTATAACAGGTTTGAAGTCTCGGATTAAACATGTACAACCCCATGTGTGGCCCCCACTAATTGCAGAAACATTTTACATTGTGAAGATAAAAAAAAAAGGATCTCCATATGTAGGCAGTTCCATATATCTTGGTAGATTGGTGTCGTACACCTTCTTGTTGCTAATCTATCCAGCCCTCCTCTTCAATCCGACCACAGATGGATCAAATCTCAGCCAGTTCAGCAGGGACCAGACGAGATTCGGTCCATCTATAGACAGGCCGGTTGTACTAAAGTCAATCCATCGATCGACTTAAATACAGCCAGTCTGTTGGATTTTTTTTTGTATGCGATCACTGCTGCTGGCTATATCCGCTAGCAGTCACCATTGTGTTCTGCCGGTGGAGAAGTCTCCTCACCGGCAGAACCCAATAGCAATGCGGGAGAGATTCACCCATCAACACTAACTGGGTTGATGGAGGAATTGAGTGATTGCATTATTATTATTATACAGTATTTATAAAGCGCCAATAGCTCGCTCAGCGCTGTACATTACAATCTATTGTTTCACAAGAAGATGTTTTTTGGGTTTTTTTTTTTTTTAATCAAAAGCTGCATCTCTGTCTCCTATCAGTTCAGACATTTTTTCCTGATGTTTGCATAATTGTAAAGAATAACTAATCCAGCAGAAAGGAGGTAGAACTATTTCTATAATAACTAACAAAATAATAAAAAGGTATTAGCTTAGGCACCATACACTAAATGTATTATAATGGAGAATCTTTGGCCTCTGTCTTATTTGCATTCAATCACACTGGTAAAGAAAAGGACCAATTTTTAGGTTTGCTAATATGAAATTTGTGCAGAATTTTGAATACAAAGACCAGAAGCAATCTTCCAGTATAATACACTCAGCCTGGATGGACACATCGGCATCATCTTTGCTGTCAAAGAATACACTCATTCCCCTCTGCTGCAGGCACAAATATTCTGATCTAATATACATTGCCCAGTATCAGTACAAACAGTCCACCATACCAAAAAACTATATACAGCAAGTTCATTTATTACCCAGTTGTAGCTAATTGGCAGTCTGTTAATTATTACTATGGGTGCACATTTCATTTGTTTAGACAAGGCTTAAAGGTATAGTTCACCTGTACCAGGTAAGGGACACCTATAGATAAAAAACAAACTCTGCAGCTTTGACCAAAGTTGAATAATGTCCTTGATGTAGGTGTTGCCATTGAACACCAGAATTGGCAGGTCCACCACTGGCACCTTGTGCTTTTCACAGCTGAGAGCAGGTTCACCCTGAGCACATGTGACAGACATGAAAGGGTCTGGAGAAGCCGTGGAGAACATTATACTGTTTGTAACATCAGCATGATCATTTTGGTGGTGGGTCAGCAGGGGCGGACTGACAACTCATGGGGCCCCCGGGCAATAAGGGATCATGGGGCCCCTGTGTCCTTGCCCAACCTAAAAAAAAGCCTATGAAAAAGGTACCAGGGGCATCTCATAGGGCCCCCTACTGACCCCGGGCCCTCGGGCAGTGCCCCAGTTTCCAAGTGGTCAGTCCACCCCTGTGGGTCAGTGATGGTCTGGGGAGGCATATCCATGGAGGGACGGACAGACCTCTAGAGGCTAGACAATGGCACCCTGACTGCTATTAGGTATTGGGATGAAATCCTTGGACCCATTGTCAGACCTTATGTTGGTGCAGTAAGTCC